GCTCTTCCAGGCAGTGGCTTATGCTGCTGTCAGGCAGCTGTCTGGGGTAGGTGACTCCATGCTGTGGTACTTGGCCAATGAGCGGGTTAGGCGCTGTGTGAGACCGGCAGTTGTTCTGACACCTTTTGCACAGCAGCCTAGTTAAGGACAAAAATGTTTGCAAATCTCTTTTTCAGTGGCCTTGGGCATCTAGTAGCTTAGAAAGTGTAATGGTAATTTAATTCCCAAATGCATAGCAGGCACGTGAAAAAGGGGCTTAAACACCTTTGCGAAGTTTAGTACAAGTTTTTGGCTTTGTTTCCTCCCTGTCTTTATTCCAGTGTGCTGCTTAGTATCTTTTTTTTTTTTTCTTTTCTTTTTTTTTTTGAATTTGATAAATCTTTCTGCTAAAGGCAGAAGTCAGCCAGACTGGATAATCTGGTTTTGATTTAATCATATTGTGTATCTGGTGTATGAAAAATAAATCACTATTCATCTGTTTTGTAATCTGATTTACGTAGAATGGAGTTATATTGAGTGAGTTTTCTACAGCCTAACACCAGGTTTTGTGAACCCACCTTGAAACAACCATCCCTCATTACAGCAGGACACATAGAAAGGAATGGGACAGGTTTTCAGTTGGTGGAAAATTCTGAGGGAAATACACCAACGTATATTTGATAGGAAGACTACATGAAGACCTTTTATTTCTCTTCTTGACCCCTGTGGAGGGGCGTTTCTCCCCTCCGCATGATGCTGGCTAGATGAGGTAGTTTGGGCTTTTTCAAATTGATAGGATTCATTTGCAGCAACCAGATTTTATTCTACCACTACACCATTTGCTTGGTGACTTTTTCCTTTAACCACGTTTAGCTGCAGGAAATTAAGTGCATGATGAAGATAACCTAACATAGGAAATAGCTCTGACAGCCCCAGCCCATGACACTGTTAAATGCATCACTCTGCTTCCTTTATCAGGAAAACTGCCATTAATTGTCAATTTATAATTGGGCAGGTGGTATTTTGGAATTTCAATGATAGATTGCAGGCTAACACCAAACTGTATTTTTATTTTCAGGCTTTATTTGAGAGCATGAATTTTACAACTTAATTATGCTGACATTTTCGGGTGCTGATTTGAAAGGTTTTTTTGTGGGTTTTTTCTTTGGTTTTTAAAGAGATGTAGTTAGTTATGGAACTATTACTTAATTCCATGTATCTTTAAAAAAAAAAAAATCCTTCTTCACTTGAGGGCTACATGCTGCCAGTCAGAGTTGTCCTTTTTAATTAAATATTAAAAATTTCTAATTTGATAGATGTTGTGTCCTCAGAAAAAAAAAGATCCATCAAGTGAGAATTTACTTAAAACCAGAAACATCTGTTGAAAAATGTGTGCTGATTGTCACCAGGAGAGACACAGCTGTTTTGCTCTGCTCTTTGTCATTTATCATTAGTCAAATATGGTTTATCCAGATTTTTTTTTTCTTTGAGATTTTTTTCAGACTAAAGTATGTGTACCTAATGTGCTAGGCAAAGAATAGTGGCTATATACAATGGCCAATTGCCTGTAATTCTTTGCTGCCTCTTTGCTCTGTATGCGTGTCCAGTAGCGGAAGAGCTTCTCCTCGCCTCTGAGGTGGGCTCTGGCCATTCTGGGGGAAAGGCTTGCACAAGGCTCAGAAGATGTAGCATCCTGCCTCTAGCCAAGGCTGGGGCTCCCGTGCTTGGGAGGGCAGTAGCCAAATTCAGGATTTGCCCCTGGCAGGGTCTTGCCTCTGCAGACAGTGCCCCGCTGGCTCCTGCTGGATCCAGATGTTCATGGGCGCTGGGAGCCCCCACAGGGGCAACTTCTTTCTTTTGGATGAGTTCCCGTTTGGGCTGAGCTGGGAGCTGTGTGGCTACTTTCTTCTCTACCCCTCTGTTATTTTTGAGGGTGCTCTGTGTCCTGCGGGTTGGAGAGCAGAGCAGCTGGAAGTTCGGAGCCTGCAACTCACCAGCAAGCTGTGCTGGGGTAGCAGGAGTTGCCCAGGGAGTGAGGGTGGTCCTGGTTCCTCATCCAGGGCTGGGAGTTAATGTCTCCAGCTGACCCCTGTAATGCGTGTCTATAGGCATTCAAATCACATGGCTCAAATTGGCAAATTTATCAGCAGTGAAGAAAGATCATGTAGAGAAACTTAGCACCACCTGAAGTCCCATCAGTGGATATGCAAATATGCACTAGCAGATAGGAGTTAAAATATGCTGGTGATAAAGGGCTGGATAAGCACTTAAAAAAAAAAGGCAAAGCAAAAAAAAACCTGGTGTGAGTGGTTAAAGTTTCTGGCCCATGGTGGGAGACACCAGGGATGCTTTGAGGGATGTGAAAGCAGTGATGCCTGCGGAGCCAAAAGCGCTCTGGGGCAGTGCGTGGATCACAGGGAAAGTAAAATGGAGTATTCAGTCTCCAGCTGAATATGTGCTTGTAATATACGCACCCAGCGCAGAAGCTCTTTTGCATCCTTTCCCTCCCAGCCAGCTCATTTCAGCCATGATTCAAGCTGCTCAGACTGTCCTTGCAGCAGGGCTATAGCAGCGAGGCGGGGAACCGGTAAATCCCCAGCAGCCAGCCTCCTTGCAGACTGGGGCGAGAGCTAATTAGCCCTTCAGCTTCCTCATCTGCAGGCTGCGGCGGGATGAGCCCTCTCACCATGGCAGGCAGCCCAGGTCTGTGGCCACAACAAAAGGGTAGAGGACCATGATTTTCTGCTTGCTGGTCGTCTTCCCCAGGCTGATGGGAGAGATAATAAAGTTTGATGTAAGAGGACAGGGTAGTATGTTGCAGTTCTGCCGTTTAACTACTTCTAAAGGCTTTTGAAGGACATCTGATGAGGAGAATTCATCGAAAGAGAGAATATACTCTAGACATAAAATTAGTGTTTTCATCATGAAGCTTTTTGCTTCGATTTTAAGATCAATAAATTTGTCTCACGTCTAACACTGTTTCAACAGTGCTTGTTTGTTTCGTTTTCTTTTTTTTTCACCCCAAAGCATCAACTTGGCATTTCTTACAGCCAAGCACTGCTGACTATTTTCAAGTGTGGTTTTACACTGGAAGTGGGTTTCTAAGAATGACACTTCCCCACCATTGCATGCTGTTGGGTCTGCTTGCTTGTGTGATGGTAATGAATCCTTAATATTTTAGTTAATTGCAGAGTAAACACAGGGCCGG